ATCCAGTAGCTTGACAAGTTGAGGTTCGTCGAAAAAGAGAATGTCTTCGTCGGTAAGAATGCGTGCTATATCTTCTGTATTATGAGCTGAGACACCACTTCGATCCAAGTTCCACACGACGCCTGCGTGTAGGGACTGTAGGGTTCTCAGGCCGATGGCGTCCAACGCATCCTTCACCAGCTGCAAGAGAGAAGTCATGAAGGAGTTCAAGTTAGTCTAAGCATACCACAGTCCACAGTTGTATGAGAGTGTAGATCCGGTGGATCGATCGACAAGTTGACACCAAACCTCCCAAGCGGTCTCAGCGACCGATCATCATCGATAAGGGGTCAAGAAGATTGGGTCTAATGTTTGATTTGAAACAAATATTGTGCGGCTGAAGAGGCGATAAAGAGAGATATCACTAGCTGACGGTAGACCTCACGAATTTGCGGGGGAACAAGCCGCTATACGGTAAAAGGAACAACGTCAATTGACCTATTATACCACAAGGAAAACCAGGAAACCAGTGTATATATAAGGAGAGGATGGAGCGACAAAACACTCCGAGCGGTAGTGGTGCAAGGGTAATGCACAGTTGAGATTAGATAAGATCCGAGTGAAGAGATAGGGTGCCAAGGTAACGAGTTTAGAGTGTCACAATAAGTCGTACACTCCAGGGAGAAGGAGAACAGGTCAACCAGGAAGGAAATTGGAAAAGGGGGTAGAGATGACATGAGATACGGCGCGCTATGGTAGATGAAGGAGACTCGTAAAGGCAAATCGAAACGAAGATGATTAACATGTCATCGATAAGCCAGAAGGGGGTTAGGTAAGGAGGCTATCCCTCCGTAGAAGATCTCCTTAGAAGAGCACGGCGAATGCAGAGACAAGTGCGACAGCACCTACTCCCAAAGAGGCTCCGAATGAGGCGGCTCCAGAGTTTGCGTCAGAGTTAGCGGCGTTGATGGGTGCATCGGTAGCGGTCGAACGAGTATTGGAGCGAGTGCCGCTGCTAAGAGCAATATATGAGCTTTGGGACTATGAAATCCAAATGTCATCCTCACCTGTTGTTGGTAGGCGCGGAGGTGCGGGTAGCAGTAGTAGCGCTCGAAGCACCAGAGCAGTCTGCAGCGTTGCCGCCTACGACAATCTATAAAATACACGAGAACGGAAAGAGAAACTTGAGTGAGGGTTACAATTCTCAGATTAGAGCTGACGTACGGTGGCGGTCCAGGCTTCATTATCACTGTCGTCGTCCGCGACGACTACGATAGAAGTTCCAGCGGCGACGTTGAGATTGGACCAAGTGTAGACACCGTCCGCTGCGAGGTCGAATTCTCCAGAGTCGGCGAGTGGGTCATGTTCGCAAGGGTTCACCGAGGGTAGGACTGCCAATTTTTGACGTGATGATAGGTACCGAAACGATACGGGGAGTGCCGATAACACATAATGGCAAAAGCATGACAGATGATACGCGAAAGTTTCCGTTTAGTTACAGCATTGTTATCAAATATGCAAAAGCTTACCTTGAAGGCGTACTTTGCCTTGGTTGCCGCCAATCTTGAATGAGACGTCCTTGCACTGCGAGAAAAAGAGACAAAAAATGTTAGCGCCATCTGATGGTAGAAAAAGGACATAGCAACGAGAGGGTGTTTGCCGGAGGGTGGGGCGGTCTCACCCTCAGGGCTAGGCGCCTGAAAAGAGGGAGTGCCGCAAGGAAAAAGTCGCTTCTCTGAGAGATGACCGATACCAACCTGGTTAATCGCAGGAGTGTCGATGGTAAAAGCAGCAGAAGCGGCAAGAGCAAAGAACAAGGGTGCTACGAGTTGCTTGAACATTGTTTTTGAGGTATCGGGGGTTCGTTAGTGGTGGCTTGGCGAGTGTCTCTGTATATAAAAGCAGGTGCTTTCGGAGTAGATATCACAATCACTTTTGAGAGGGTAGTAGTTTTGTAGCAAAAGAAGGTCACAGGTAGAGACTGGAGGGAGTTACAGGTAGGAGAGGGCAAGTCCGTGGAAAGGTCGGAGACAAGTTGAGAGGCCGTTTGTTTTGGTCGCTGTCGCCTGGCCTCTTCTTGGCGAGTCCGCCAAACCGATACAAATCAGTCAACCTGCCAACCAAATAGCGAAAATGGGCAATGTAACAAGCAATGACGCGCCCTCTTTGGGGCACAATTCTTGCCTGAAACCGACAAAGGCGGCGAAAGACGACCACATCCACTGGAGGAGAAACATCGATTCGAGCCATCCTGATGACGAGAAGAATTGTGGATGCGACAAAGGTAAATCGTATCCAGTCGTCGGCGTCGTGCCTAGGGCTGCTTCCTTGATGGCCGTCTCTTCCCAACGCGACCCATCTTTCAATTGCTG